CCTAATGATTTCCTTGACGATATTTTTGCAGTCATTACTTGAGAAGATCTGATGCTCAGTTTTATTAGTAAAGATATCCCCTCGGAGTGCCCGGAAGCGTGCACAATCAAAAAGTAGGTGGTGAATGGTTTGTTCTTCCGTGCAATATTGACAGATACCACTTTTGTTGAAAAACCTTTTTTGATACACTCCGAACACTCCGTGGCCAGTAATGAATTGATTTAGGTAAAAGTTTGTAAGTAACCTTTTAGTTGATGGTGTTTTAATGAGATCATAGGTTTGCCTCCCTTTTGGACAGTTCCTCCACTCCTCTGCCCATTTAATAAGGATACTATCCCTCAGTTTACTCTTAACCTGTTTTGGGGTCCTCAGCCCTTGGAGTTCCACCGTGTCTAACCCAATGGCCATCTTGGCTGCTTCGTCAGCTTCTTCGTTGCCCTGGATGCCCACATGCGCCTTAACCCAGTTTAATTTTATATTTTGTCTCCAGAGCAGTTTTGTCGTTTCAATAATGTCTGATGTGGGCTGTGGGTCAGCCAGGGCCTGTAGCGATGAAAGAGAGTCTGAGTAAATAGTTGCCTCTGTAATGTTGTTGTTTTGAAGCCATTGCAGCGCCGATTTGATGGCCAGCAGTTCAGCAATAAAGATGTTAGTGTTATCTTCGACCCTAGTGGAGACCTGATGTGTTTTTACTCCGTTAAAATAGACAACGAATGCAAAAGCAGTTCTGAAGATGTTATCGTTGCCAGTCTCCATCCTAGAGCCGTCGGTGAAAATCTCCAAACCCTGATCTTTTGGGAAATCATACCCCCAGGGCAAGGAGCGATACTTAGATGGGTGCAGTGGGGCTGGAGTATCAAAATTAATATTCTGTGTAGAGCACTCTGGGAAAACATGAACCAAATCATCCGTCCTCCAACCCCATCTCATCCTTTTGATAATAATGTCCTCGAGGATCTTTAGGTGAATTGGGACAATGCCAGCCAGTATCTGTATAGCTTCAGAGCTAACTGTCGAGTACGCCTTGGTAATGGTAAGTAGAGGGATCCTTTGGATTGATTTAAGTTTTTCGTTCATCCTTGTGTTATTTCTGTACCAGACACTGGCTGCGTACAAAATAATACGCTCGCTTGCCTGGAGGTAGATTCGTTTAAGTATAAATGGGCTGAGCCCCCAGGTTGCCCTAGCAACTCTCCTTATCCCCTGATATCGAAAGTAGTAATGTAAACAAACTTGACATCTTTCCAGACGTCAAAAAGACCACGCCCACTTTTTATTAAAATCGCTATAAAAACGTTAAAAATTATCGTATCGAAAAAATTTCAACACCACGTGATAAAGAATGAATTTCTTCACATTTTTAACGAAAAAATTTGTTTTCGAAAATTTGATGATTTCATGGTCCCGTGTCCCCGAACATAATTTTTTTTAATAATAGGAGGTAAAATATTTTATTTTTATTAAAAATTAGGAATTAATCAAGCCAGAAAAAACTACTCATAATGTAACAGCTACCTAAATAATAACCGTATAAATGTGAATATTCTATAGAAAACCAATGAATTTGACCAAAAAATAAGAAAAAATAACTTACCAACAAATAGGGAATTAAACCAGTATACAAACACGCTAAAAATTAATTGATTTATACAATAATATCCCAAACGGTGGTTGTTTTTTTTTTAAAGTTCGTTTAAAATGTCTTCTACAGCTGGGGTAAATTTTCTATGAATGTTTAAGAGCGCCAATCCATTCATTCTATGATTACCAGTTGAATTGCATTAATAAGTCTTTAAACGGCGTCAAGTCGAAACGGATCTTTCGTTTGCACTCGTTGAAGCATGTAGAACGACCAATGTTTCTAGGAGTTTGAAAATGCTTGGTGTTATATCTTTATTGCACATTCCAAGAGCATAGAACGCTACCTCCGTCTTCACTAATCCTTTTTAATCTTTTATACCAGAGTTTTGGTTCAGACTTAAGGCTTTCTTTACAGGCATTCAAATCTTGAGCATAAAATTCCATTAGTGCTTCAAAAGCCTTTATGTTTGAAGGTTGGCAAATGAAAGGATCGGCAGGAAGAAAGCACTGAAATCCTTTCAAAATATCACGATGCGATACAAATCTTAAGATAATCTTAATTGTATTATAAAATTTTCTATAAATGTAATAAATACACTAACTCTGAAATATGTTTCGGGTGTCGATGAGGGAAAAGTAGCGCGATTTTTCTGTCTTCCCGTTTTTCTAGGGATTTGTATGGAAGAACCAATGCTTGTTAACATAAGAGAAGAAGAGCTGAATATTTCAGAGAATGTTTCAGTGTCATTTTCACGCATTAATTTTAGATCTTTAATGACATCTTCTGCAAGACTCATTGCCTCTTTCATATCTATGCTTGTTTTTATCTACAAAGATGGATTGTTATGGTGAAAACTTTGTAAATGCACAAAAGAGATATTACGAATTGGCAATTAGATACTGTGCACACTAAAGAATTAGCTTGAGTAGCTGATTTCTTATCCTTTTTTATCCTCTCATGTACTATCTTCTGAAAAAAGTCCAATGTCATATGGGTGGGAAGTAACACTTTGAGGGCCACTTTCACATTAATTAGATTTTGTTGAGCTAGAAACGTTTTCTTCAACGGAAGTATCAGATTTCTGTTCAAAGAAAAACTTACATTGGTACTGGATGCTGTCACCTCACTAATTTCAAGTCGTGATTTTTTCTCAAAATAATTAAAAATTGTTAAATTCTTGCGTTTTGACATCCTAAAGATCCAAGAACAGCAATATATATATATTGGCCCAGAGATATCCGCTATGCTCCGATCTCAAAGTTTCGAGCTGGAATGAATAACTTCAACGAGCTCAGTATCTCCAATAGTATTGTTACTGATTTCTTCACTAGTCGAAATAACAACGACGACGGGTTCGGCGATTGAGTGAACTTTTTGTTAAGACAAAACAAATCAGATTTAGCAACGAGCTCCGAAAGACAAACGGCAGAGATAACTCTTAGTCTGACTAACTAACTCCACTGTTCTCCGTTCCCTCTTTTATATAAATTTTCACCGCAACTCCAAAATTCTCGAATTGTCTCAAACACGACAGAACGTGTAGGATTCCAGAATCATCGCGTAAAGACCTC